ATGAATAAATATTAGGGGCGCCTTTAAAAATAATTACGGCAATGAAAATTGGCCCTCAAGTCGACTAGTGACGACCACCTACAGTTTTTTACAAATTTACTGCCAAAAAACTCCCTGTTGTTTTTGTAAGTGTGAACAGGGTTTTTTTTATAATTTTAGGGGAAACATTTATTAGTCACAATGGGTTTGTAAAAATTGTTTTTTTTATTCACACAAATATACAATTATACTAATATTATAAAGAGGAAAGATTTGTATTTTTGTCTGTTTTGAAATTAAAAAACTACTTGGCTGATTTTAAACATTCTTTCACCGTTAAATAGCTACATTATCGCAGAGTAACATAGATTAGTTATATTTATTAAAAAAAATGTTTCCGCGCGGACGAAGACACGAGCAACAGCTAGTACTATTAATAAGAAAGTGACTCTTTCCGTTGATAATTCGATAGTTTCTGATAATTCCAGTCATATTACAAGATGACGGATTACACATTCGATCCGTGACATGGCCATTAAAAAAATTATAGTTAACCTTTTTTGTGTAATAAACGCTCAGTATTTCAACTCACTAATGACGTAATTTAAAAATAAAAAATGACATTTTAAGTACACTCGAGAGCAAAAGTTTAGCGCGTATAATCGTGGGCGTGGCTTTATAATTGATAGGCGCACGAGTCATTAATCATTAATAGTTTCTTATCTCTCCCACGAATAATTAAAAAAGGTTATTAAAACAATCCTTTAATGGACTTCACTGGCACGAATAATAAACATGATGGCCACAATTGTAATTGAGTTGCGTAACGAGTGATATCTCAGTGTGTGTGGGCCTTTAAATGTAATTGTATAACTGAGTTTAATAAATCTCATAAAAATAATTAAATAAAATAAATAAAAATAAAAAGATTCTTACTGTTGTCACAAAAACAGTTTCCTATGAGCTAAGTAAAAAAAAAGTTGAATCGACAACAATGGGCTGCAGGCTCAGTGTGGACAGCATGTCCTAAGCCATGCGGAGCTGGTTCTCAGCCTGTCCCGGAGAGCAACGTTGCGACAGTTCAGAGGTGACCGTCTTTAGCCTATGTTTTTCCAAACTATGTTCTACATCTTTGCCAAAGTTCATCGATATCCATTCAGGAGTTTAGGCTACAAACTCTATCAAACATCCATCTGTCTAAACTTGCGCATTTGTAATATAGCTGTTGCTCGCAACTTCGCCTGTGTGAATTTAAATAATAAAAAAATAGCCTATATTACTCATTGATAACGTAACTTTTTAATGGTGAAAGAATTTTTGAAATTCGCCCAGTAGTTTTTGAGTTATTTCAACACATACAAAAATACATTTTTTTTCTCTTTATAACATTAGCAAAGACTAGTAACATTATGAATGAAATTTTAGAATAACATAAGGCATAGTAAAATGATGGATATATTTTTTCAATGAATGTAAAAAAACAAACGACCAATTCATGGGAACTGGCAACCATCTTGGCCGCAGACCGCGACAATTAACCGAAGTACACATAATTATAAAAAAGTAGGCGTTAAAATAATATTTGTCCCGGCCACATGCGCGATATGGTAGGTAAAAACACCGAGCTTACAAAACTAGAAGTGACTTGTGGTAAATCGATTTTACAAAAGGTTTATTCTTGTAACATTTTTGTTTTATACAAGAGAGAGAGAAATAGAGAGAAGAGTCGCTTAAACATTAAGTGTGATTTATTATATAACATAAAACTACATTTAGCGTCACAAAAAGCGTCTCTCTGACTGATCATTGATGACTGCGATAGATAAAGGTTAAAATAACGAAACAAATAAAATGAGGTTTAGGCTAAGCGCCATCCGCGCTGGGCCACCTCAAGCCCGGTGAATCTGTAAATGCCTCTTCAAGGCAAACAGTGACAAATCAGTCACAAAAAAAAACATATAAAATGAGAACGGTATAAGTCTTTTAAATATTTTATAAATACCATTCATTTATAAGATATCAAAGTAAACTTTTTGTCGCATATTTTGTAAGGCCACTTCCAGCGGTTGTATATCAATGTACCGAGATTACACTGTCACCAGATGGCCGAGGCATGTGCGGGACACATTAGTATTATCTACTTAGCATGTGCGTTACTAGTGAATTATTTTACATTTAAAAACGACATATTTGGAAGATAATGTTATTGTTTATAAATTGTAACCCTAATTACTCTAGTACGTTTTATGCTACAAAATAATATCCGATCGCCAGATTAAAAAACGCAGTTTAAAATCTTTAATATTGATATTTATAACTAAATCTACACTAAGCAACACCTTTAATAGCTATTCAATGACTTATGTTCCTCCTGAACTTAGTTTTTTTATCATGTACTAGCTGTTTCCGTGCGACTTTATCCGCGTCAAATTATGGAAATTTTATTTTTTTGTTTACATTTGTCAAATTATCAATAGCATAAGTCAAAATGAGAAGACAACAAACCTTAGCAATCTTGCTTTCTTGATGTTGAAAGCAACTTATGGTCTCTTTCCCACATTAGGGTTTTTATGCAAAATATTTACCCCCCAAGTTTAATGTCGTGAAAATATATATCCTAAAGTGTGACATAAGTGTAGCGCTTTTTATTAATAAAAAATTATTAAAAAATTGCTGTAATTCAGAAGGTAAATAGTTGAAAAATTCTTTAAAAAACAGCAATACACGTCCAAACATAATTAAGATGTTTATTTTGTAACAGTTATGTTGAAATAACCGTTGGATAATTGTCGCTAAACATTGAATTAAACAGCAGGGGGCGCTATAAACCGGCTTTGTGTGAATTATGCTAATAACGTTCTCGTTTGCATTTTATACTAGCAATTGTATGTATATTTACTGTAGCATAATCCAGATGCCGTAATAATTTAAAAGTTAGAGGTACTGATTAACTATCTAGTGTTCGAATACGGCAAACACATCATAGTAGAAGGTGGCAATGTCATCACCAGAGCCGGAGGCCTAATTTTAGTCCCTTTCCTTTTCCACCCTTTACTTGAGAGGAAAGGATTTGAAGGAAAAGCGTATTTGACAGTGGAGACGCATGTGAAGGAGAAATTTCCTCTTTATTTGCGTCTCCTCATCCGGCAATTAAGGGTAGGCAACGCATCTGCAATTGCGGATGTCTATGGGCAGCGGTCGCTTGCCATATCGGTGGATTCAGGTGGCCGCTTGCTCGTTTGCCAACTTAAATCATAAAAAAAAAACATCATAGTAGGTGTCAATGTTATCCCCAGACATACGTTCCCACTGAGGGGCGGGGAGCCTTTAAATTAGGAATAATAAGTTACAAAGTATGCTAAAAAATTAAATATATATCCCGTAGAGTTAAGTCCTTATTACTTTAATAAACCAGACCAACCAGTTAATTATCATAGAGTACAATTTCATGAATAATTTAAGCTTCAACATATTTATATTATAAAATATTTCAATCGTTTGGTTATTGAGGACCACCTGCAGTTGTTGATTTATTTGATAACTAGCGTAGAATGAAAAAACAAAAGAGAGTAGCCTATGTGTTCTTCCAGACTATCCTCTATATCTATACCAAATTTCATCGCAATCTGTTAAGCCGTTTATGCTAAGTCTAACAAACATCCATCTAAACTTTCGCATTTATAATAGTAAGATTCTCCAGTCAACGTTGACCTCGTTGACATGCGACACTTTCCCCCTAAGTCATAAAGTGTTTAAAAATAATCTTCAGAAGTTAATCGTATGCCACTGATTGCTCTTACAAACGTCATCCGGTGATCATTGACGCATCCTTCTGTGGTAAATTATGAAGCTAATAATATCAAGTTAACAAGATGAAATGCTTTGAAAATAAAGGGTGTTTGAAACAAACGGTAGTATCGGAAGTAGTAAATGAACAGGCATCCTCATATATTAAAAAAAAAAACTAATATTTGTTTAATTTTAAATAGTGTTTATAGTTTGTCTAAATACTTTAGACTAGTTCGACAATTAATTTCAAATTTAGTAGGGATGGGTTGTGTGAAATCAGTCATGAATCTTATCGATTTTTATTCTTATAGAAGTTGCAATCGATAGATGTATAGTTATAACTTATGAAATGAAAAAAAAAACACTGTTTTCTCAAACTAATAATGACCATAACAAATAATGAGAGTAAATAAATTTTATTACTACTACAGCCGTATGTGATCGAAATCGATTTTGGTATTATTTCTGTCATCGCTAAATTCTCTACACTGTAATCAATATTAGAATTGTCCACTAAAATAGTGAATAAGAAAATAATAATTTTAGTTGAGTTCGATAATTATTCAAACCGAATATCGATAGTTTAAAACTGTTCGCTATGTGTGTTTGTTTCGTCACTACCATACCTGTCTATTTAGTATGGCATTTGCCTTCATACAAATTGAATTCGATACTTCATATACGTCATTAAACTAATCTATCTTATTTAGACACACAATAGTTGTGTTGATTAACTTTTACCTGACACTTCATCGGCGCGAAGTAAAAAAAAAACTTAGTATTTAGTCTATGTGTTCTTTTAGTCTATGTTCTACGTATCTGTCAATTTTCATCGAAATCTATTATGACGTTTTGGGGGGTACTTAGTAAAAACCATCCAATTCGCATTAATCTTGTGTTTTAGTACGATTTTTACCTTAGGAATTCATTGCCGAAAGAAATCTACAAAAATGTCATAATTTTTATCCAGGTTCGTAAATACGATAGAAATAAGTGTATGAGTATTTTGACATTAAAATTACCGTTATACTAAGGGCAAGTCCCACCAAATTGTAAATTTATAACAATCTAACGTTTAAAATATGTTATGGATATATCAGATCTTGTTCCCTTATCTTACAGTGACGTCATTTTTAAGCTATCCGCCACTATCAGCTCGTGATGTAGAAGTCTAAGTAATGTAGAATTTCTAATTTCAGCTTCAGACAGTAATCATATTTCTTTTGTTCCAGATGTCCTAAAATCAAACTCGACAAATGAGACAAAACAAATCTTCAGTACAACATGAGACAAAAATATAAGCCGAGATGGCGGCGAAATTCAAACGATTTCTAAATGGAATGTATATAGTGCGTGCGCGCAGGGATGATTCGAAACTCGAAAATAGAACGTCCGTTAAAGCGGGTTCGCGCCGGAAACAGCAATGGCGTCGACCGGATGCCGGGATTTTGTTACTGTCTCTCGCCGCCCTTTTTGTCTGTGTTAATGCTTACCAAGAACAACGTTTCGCAATGGAACCACAAGATCAGGTTTGTACTTTTGTTATGATATTTTAAATTCATTTCTAGACATATGTTCTCGAAACTCGAAATACTTCTTCCTGCGGTTTAAATTCAAATGCCAAGTTCTATATTTACTTGAAGGAAATGATTGTTAGCAAAATAGGGATGTGACTAATAACCCTAAATATCCGCTTATGCAGATACATTGCCTAACTTTAACCAAGAAAGACGCACAGAAAGAGGCTCTCCTACTTATGCGTCCCATCCCTCGCCAAATCTACTTTCCTTTCTCATCCTTTTTTGTACATATGGTGGACAGAGAAGACGACTAACATTATACCTTTAGCAAAGCACACTTGTCAGACGAAACGTTGAATTCCTCTCACTTCAGGCCTGTATTCTGTGTGGTCGTGGTACTGGACCAGGAGATCCGAAGTTAAATTGGTGAACACTTCACCTTAGCCATGGTTTAAATTTTCATATTCAGTGTGTTCTCCAATTTGTCAAATAAGATTATAACATGGCGTTTAAATATCGTAATAGTAACGTGTTAAACAAGCTTCTAATATTCTTATGAATATTTATAATCAAGATTAGTGCGATCTTGATACGTACGAGCATAATTCAGCATATCGCATTAGATTTCCATGTTGTAAATAAAAGTTAACGGCCTTGCCGTTGGTCCTATCAAACTGTTGTGACGTATGGCCCAAGTTATAAGAAACGGCGAATATTTTAATTATAAATAAAATAAAATAATGTTTAATCCTTGTCAACACTACAATTATAAATAAAAAAAAAGTAATTAAACACAGAATAATGAGAAACGTAAATAATGAAATGAAAAAAAAGAGATATTTAAAATTAGCATTGCAATGCTGACTGGATTGGGTCCTCGCTCCGCTATAAATGCTGAATGCTCCTAACTGAAGCACCAGCGCTGATCTTCCGCAAGATCTTGGGATCATCCACACTAATATTATTACCAATTAATGTTCTTATTAATAAAAGCATATAAAATTAGTGTATAAAATGTATTTAGTATCTTAAATATTTCAATAATTTCTTAGGGAATGTTATTTAAAGTTTTTAATAATGAGCATAATATTTATAGTTAATAATATATTAATAATATAGTTTAAATTACTTTATAATACTTACTCTGTTACAAATATTAAAAAAAAATCATAGGAATTTTCAACATTTTCTGGTATGTTCCCGCCTTTATGGTCACCGGGTGAATTTTACACAGTTTATTAATGTTAATGTTTTCGACAAAATCTTATGACTTGGAAAGCCTACTGTTTTAATTTGAATAATAAATTAGTTGATTTCCATAGGCGTACTACCTAACGTTCCGGTTTATCATCCTGATGGTATCGAAAATGAAAACATAAATAAAAACCTATTCAAATTACAAATGAATTAAACATGTTTCTGTTTTAATAGAAAATTCAATAAAGGAAAATATATGACATATTTTTTTAAGCCTATTAGTTATAAAATATTGTTAATTAATTATTCAAAATCTGGTTCTCTTTAAAAAATACAAACGGAATTTGTTTTTACAAAATTTGTTAATTAATATTTTATTCAGAGACAAGTAAAAAAAACGTAATTTGTTACAACAAGTGTTAATGTGGCTTAATTTGAATAAACAGTACAAAATACCGTTGAATAATTAAAAAAAATATTTCAATTAAAAAAATATACATTAACTGTATTACCCTAACAATACTTAGACGCTTTAACGTGTGTTTTAACACTTTGATCGCTTGATTGATATTATGTGGTTACGAGTTTCGCAACATTTATTAACTAGCTCTTGATCGCGACTTCGTCTGCATGAAATAAAAAACATAGCCAATGTTACTCATTAATAACGTAGCTTTTCAATGGTGAAAGAATATTTAAAATCGGCCTAGTAGTTTTTAAGTTATTTCAATACAAAAATGTCATCTTATTCTAGCTTTACGAGTAAATCGGATTTCGCAAGTCTATATGTAATGTCTCATAAACCATGATTTAATAAAAAAATCCGTGCTGAGAGCTATATCTATCGTATAAAATGGTTGATATATGTTTAAGCAAAAGTTTATTTGCAAAGCTGTTTTATAGTAAGACCTAACATTCGAGTCTAGAAGTCAATATACACGTAGCGTTAAGACTTCGAAACAGAAGAAACATTCAATTGTGATACCTAACCTATTATTTAAGAATCCTAGTATGGAAATATATTATGACGTAAGAAATTGTATTTCCACACTATTATACGCAATAAAATTGTTATCTCTTTTACTATTGGTTCTCGAAATTTCTAGACAAAACTTCGTTCGAGTTATTAATTATATTAATTAAGTTTATTTAACATTTGAACAGAGCGCGATAGTCGGGTCGAGGGTGACTTTACCTTGCCGAGTGGAGAACAAAATCGGCACACTGCAATGGACGAAGGATGACTTTGGTTTGGGCACACAGCGCAATTTAAGCGGCTACGAGAGGTACTCCATGATAGGAAGCGACGAAGAAGGTAAATATATTTTAAGTCAATAAGTAAATGGTTAATATCTATTATGAGATAAAACCTTGATACACGAAATATTAAATGCACTATAGTCTTATTATAGTGTGTCTAAATAATTTAGATTAGTTTGACAATTTATTTCAAATTTAGTAGGGATGGGTTGTGTGAAATCAGTCATGAATCTTATCGATTTTCGATTTTTATTCTTATAGAAGTTGGATTCGATAGATTTGTAGTTATAACTTATGAAATAAAAAAAACACTGTTTTCTCATATTAATAATGACCATAACAAATATGAGAGTAAATAAATGTTTATTACTACTACAGCCGTACGTAATCAAATTAGATTTCCCTATTATTTCTGTCATCGCTAAATTCTCTACACTATAATCAATACTAGAATAGTCCTCCAAATTAATGAATAAGAAAATAATATTTTTAGTTGAGTTTGATAATTATTTTAACCGAATATCGATAGTTCAAAATTGTTCGCTATGTGTGTTTGTTCGTCACTACGATACCTGTCTATTAAGTATGACATTTGCCTTCATCATTTGCCTTGTTTCTTTTCATCATTTGTCATCATTCATTTGCCGTCATTTATCAAAATAATCTATCTTATTAGACAAACTATAAATAATATATCCATTACGTCATCGATAGTAGATTTTGTAGTAGTTAGTGCATTTAACAACCGATAGGGGCGCTGCACAGATGTCATAAAATTGAAGATTTTAACACTTTCTCAAATTATCAGCACACAACACACGACACATAACATAAGTTACCTTTAGAATTTATAATCTATTTACTTTGTTACAAAATTATATTCAAAACTAACTGTTGCTCGCAACTTCGTTCGCGAGGAATTAAAGAAATAAAGTGATAAGATAGCTTTTTAACTGTCTAAAAATTATTGAAATCGGTGCAGTAGTTTAAGAGTTATTCCAATACATATAAAAATACAAAATTTCACCTCTTTATAATCTTAACATAGATTAGTTTTTGCCAGCAACTTAGTTCGCGCGGAATTAAAAAAACAACAAAAGGAAGATGTATGTCGTCTGTACCAGTTTACTTAGGGACCCGTTGAACTGTTCTGAAGCTAGCTAGTAATCATCCATCTAAACTTTCGTATTGAATGGTAAGATTAACGAAAAAAAGCATATGGCGGCCATACAAAGATTGACGTATATTTACTTAATTCAGGCGTTGGAATAAAATGAATACGCGTTGATGTATAAATATGAAGATGAGAGATGTATTTGAAAGATTTATGCCATTTCCACTAAGTGTTTTTATTTTACAACCGATAAAAAATTTAATATTTATAACTGTATTTATTTTTATTCATCACGCGGCCAGTGGAATTGATTCGTTATATTAAACAGTTGAATGAACTGTGTTTTAAATTAATCATTAACATTTATAAATATCATTACATTGGCCGTGAGAGAATGTAAACAAATAGACTGTAACCACGGGTCTATCACGAAAAGTTACGTAATAGTTGCGAGAAAGTTTTCGTACCGCTATTGAAAAAATGTCTATGAGATTTGTTAATGCATTTTATTAAGCTCTCTGAAGGCTTATCACGAATATTCGTGAGAGTATATTCTTATCGTCATCGATAAATTTAATACTGAGCGAAAAATAAAAACCGACGAATCTCATACAAATTTTGTCGATAACGTTACGGAAATGTTTTCACGAATTTTCGTGATAACCCCTCTGTTCATGTTTTAAAACGAGATTTTTGGCACAACGTACAAGTACAGAGTAATGAAAAAAATTTAGGTAAACCATGTTACGTGTGTTTTATTTTTAATTTTGTATATCACGGTTACGCACCTGTTTTACTAGTCGTTACTAGGATGAATAAAGGCAACCACACACGAATTGTACGCAATCTTACGACATTTTTAGCGGACTGCAAACTTTGGCCTGTGTATGGACGTCAACTGATTGCCCAATATATTTAACTTTAATCAGTCCGTGTATAGCTCTAATACGTTTTTAGATTTAGTACTAGAAACTCAAAATAAATAGCTGAAACATCCCTTTAGCCTAAAAAGTCTGATAGTTTTTAGTGTACAGTCGGCTGCAAAATTAAAAAAAATTATAGTTGGTACTTTGGTTTCAAATTTTTTATTAAATATATTCGTCAATAAAACGTTTCTATGATCTATAATCTATCTATTCATGGATACAATACGACATATTTTTATAACCAAAGACGTGATTACAATTCCTAAAATTTAGTAATTGTATACATATTTGTGGAGCTGAGTGTACTTTTTTTAGTACGATGTAATTATACTGAGAGCGGTATTTAAAGCAATATATTTAACTAGATATGACATGAAATATGTTAGCAATTAAATAAATAATTATTCTATTCTCTATTGAGTAATAAAATTCAAAGGTAACAGTACAAATTAATCTTGAATTCCCAAAACGTTAATAATCAAGGTATCTTTAACGCAACGAGCTTTGCGAAATGTATTATTAGAGCTTCTGCGAGCTTTTGCCTATTGAAAGTTCATTGCTCCGTTCGCTTCGGATATGATGATTGCTTGACGCATTGAAACTGAAATATTCCCAAGGTCGTTGAAATGTATTCATTGTTTTTACAGCGGTGAGTTTACAATTGTCAATTTTATTTTATTACAGTCTTTTTTATCTGTGAAATTAAGGAGTACAAACCACCCCCAAGATCTAACGAATCAATATAATGGGTAATTTGGTGAATTTTCGAACTAATAACACGGTCTCTTTCAGTCTTATGACGCTGTAGACATTCGAGTCACGTATAACATCATCGCGAATAAATAATTCGACCGCTTTCCCGAATTCTAATTGAAAATGTAATGTATATTTCTGCCACCAGAGGGCATAGACAAAGATTCGTATCGCTAGTGAAATAAAAACTACACTCTTGTTTTATTAATTACGTATGTAATGATATGTATGTATGTACATTCATTAACACACATTCATACACTTACACCCTCAATCTCACATACACACACACGCACACACATTCACTCATATACACACCAGCACACATGAGAGACGGTTAACAAGTAATTATTAACAACTAGCTTTCGCCCGCGACTCCGTCCGCGTGGAGTTCAAAAACACAAAAGTTAATAGCCTATGTGTTTTTCCAGACTATCCTCTACTGTCTGTACCAAATTTCATTGAGACCCGTTCAGCCGTTTAGGCTACAAACTCTAACAAACATCCATCCATCCATCTAAACTTTCGCATTTATAATATTAGTAAGAGTAAGATAGTAAGATTAGTAAGATTAATTTATAGTTACTAATTAACAGTAAGTTTATTTTTTTCTGTAATTTATATAGCTTCGATACTTTAGTTTCTTTTTGTTGTTAAATGTACCTGAAAGGGAAGGCATTAGCTCCTTAAGCACAGGATTTCCTACTAAAGCGGTAGTGATCTTGTAAATAATGATTATAAAATACAGAATCTTTATTATTATTATACTAGCTGTTCCCGTGCGGCTTCATCCGCATGGAATTATAAAAACTTTTTTCTTGTTTACATTTATAAAATTCTCAATTGCAAATGTCAAAATACAAATGACCTTACTATGGCAATCTTGCTTCCTTGATGTTGGCAGCAGCATATGGTCTCTTTCGCACATTGGGGTTTTTAATCCAATTTATTTACCCCTTAAGTTTAATAGCGTGAAAATATATAGCCTAAAGCGTGAAGTAAGTGTAGGGCTTTTTTATTAAAGAAAGACATATACAAAAATATTCTGTAATTCCTGACATCTTACGCCACAAAGAAGTGTGTGTTTACGCTTTATTATAATAGTATAAATTATTATGTATTAAGAAGTAAATGAAAACAATTTACGATCATTTAATATGCTCATTTGGTTGCAGGTGACTATTCTCTAGACATCAGAGACGTGACTCTGGATGACGACGGCAAATATCAGTGTCAAGTTAGTTCAGGACTGAACGGTAAGTTTGATCCCGTAGGAGTAGGCAAAGAGATTCAAATATATATAGACGGCATAGTTAAGACTTCACTTGAAACATTTTTCACATAAACATAGCTAACGCTATCTATTGATAAATCCTCAAGACCATGTGTTTCAATTTATTGTCAATAGATGTCATTAAATAATGTAAAATGTTTGTATTTTGTTTTGTAAAATGTTTTATTACATGTCAATATACGTGGTGGCACTAAAATTGACAACTGATATATACCTTCCAGAGAGAGTACCGGTAAAAATATTATTTAATATGCCTCGTCTATATATTTATATGTCTTTGGTACGTAATTTTGTGTTAACATGTATTTGATAGTAAAATAATTTTGCAATATATATTCATAGTTACCTAAATTCTACATTACTTAATTTTTTTATTTTTATATTTGAATTACACAAACACAATTAACTACCAAATTAATTTACCAAAGTAAAATTGAATATAACAATCATGTTAATAAATAAATAATCTCATTTAATAAAATAACGCGGAGTAAACTTATTGGGAATTCTTACACCAAACATTTGCTTCCAATACTCCAACATTCCATAATCCGTCGGTTGCATCCAATCAGCTTTATATTCCAGGCGAGCCGGCAATTCGATCTCGCTACGCGCAGCTCACGGTGTTGATCGCACCAGATCCCCCTCGGATCGTACAAGGGGCTTTCATTGACGCCACAGAGGACCAACCTGTGGATATCGAGTGCGTTTCCGAAGGTGGAAAACCGCCGGCTGAAGTGAGATTTTCCTTTACATTTTCCATTTAAAATTGCTTTTGTGATA